TCTTGGTAAACAAATAAAAAACTGTTAACAAATTTTGGTAACAGAACTTAAATATCTTTTCGCTTAAATGTGGAGGGGGAAATGACATTAAATTAACCTTAATTAACTCAATGCGTTGGTAGCTGTTTTTTTTTTTTTTTGACAAGAAAAATTTATACTAAAAGTATTTAACCCACTAAACTTAAGTTAAAATGTTTTAAATGCCTTAAATAGTGGTCATTTAAAAAAAGCACCGTAATTTAGGTATTAGTTTTAAAAACTAATATTTTATATTAAGAAAATTAAAGTAATTTTGGTAATTTCTCTTTTACGCTATTTAACTTTTTCTAAAATACAAGAAATTTATTGAAATTATATTTAATTTGTTTAAAAAGAAAAGTGAAATTGTTTTTTTTTTTGCCATGAGAATTAGTTATAAACAAATGATTTGTTTCATGCTTTATTTTGCTCTAAACTAAAAGTGCATTGAAAATTTATGGTTAAAATAGAAAAAAGGGGGAGTTTTTTTTGTTGCAACTTATTTAAATTTCTTTTCATTGCTTACTTTGTTTAAAACAATGTCATCTGTTTTAGTGTTTTTGTTTAACTAGATTTTACATTAGACAGCCAGATTTTTATCTTTTGATATAAATAAATGCCAACAAAAGCAACAAATGATAAGAAGAAAAAAAAACTGTAACAAAATTGTGGCAATGTAGGTGAACTTTTTGTCAAAGAAAATATAACAAAAAATGTAAAAAAAGAGAAACAGTAAAGCGGAAGGCTTAAAGCACAATCAAAAGATTTAAGCAACAAACTTGTATGCCGGTTTTAATAGAGACAAGGATTAAATTGTTATAAAGTTAAACATTACACTAGTGGTCGTTCGGCATTGACAACAGAGATCGAATTTATTTACTTTTTTTAATAAATGTTAATAAATTCGAAAAAAAGAAGGTTTACATGGACTGCCATACGGACAGACAGACAGGCTGACGAACCAAGGGACATTGCTTAAGAATCACATTCTGAGTCGTTGTTTAAACTGTAAGGTGTGAATGTAAAACCAATAATAATGCATAATATTCTCTCCATTATAGTGATATTGGTATAATATGAGTTTGCCCCTCACTGTTTTAACTTAAAATTTTTGCAATACGTTATGTTTTTTTCTTATCAACATATATTGCATTAATAATTTAACATGCATTTCCATGGCACTGTGTACTGCTAACATGGTTTGCAAAAAAATCCACTACAGACCTAAAATACCAACACAGTCAAGAACCTTAAACAAAAGACATTGAACTGTAGCCCCACTTTCTATTGAGGCCAGACATTCAATACGTATGTAAGTCTTACAGTCTATGTACTTTAAATAAATACGAGACACCCAAAGTAAAGAAAAAATAATGAAAAAACGGAAGAAATGCCAAGTACAATGTAACAATTTTATTTATTGCAAATATTTAGAGTTTTTACACCTTAAAAAAAAAGTAACACGAACACGACAAAAACTAAGAAAAGAAATGGGCCTTACAGAACAATACTGCTAATGAGTTTAAGTTGGTAATATGAACGAATATAGTAAGATAGTTTTACTTAAGGCTATAGATTTGACAAATTAGTTGAGAATTTTAAGCTAGAAAGAAAATAGAGGAGGAAACTGAAAGAATAAACAACAATTTTAAAGAAAATTAGAACCATGGGAACTAAAGTTGTGTTTTTTTTTTGGTTTTTGAGTGAACTATAAATATGAAACTGGCAATCTTAAAATAAAAGTTCGCATTTAAATGTTTAAGTTTCTCATTTGTACAAGTGGGCAAGTTTACTTAAGGTATGTTTTGTCACAACGAAAGCATAAATTTGTGATAATAGGTAGTATGAATGGACTTTGCAGTGTTATGGAGTTGGTTATCAAAAAGCCGTTACACTTGAATCCATGAGTTTATTCCACTGCATCGATCAATCTGCAAGACATCCTTATATTCTGATTCAATATAGAATAAATGAACGAGTCAATCTTATTTCTGTTTCTACTGCTTTTTTCCTGTTCTAGTTCATTTTCAGTACCTTTTTCTCTTTACCGATCTCTACTTACATAAATCACAAGAATAGGAACAAGTTCTTTTACTAGTACATTGTCAGTTAATTTATCTGTGCGACTGCTTTGCTTTTAAAGAAGTAATTAACTATGATCATTGCATATATTAAAGTTAAATAGCTTAAGCTTTTCTATGTCGATCGCTTTTTTGGGAGAGAAACTAAATGCTGGACTAGTTCTGGATCAAATCCCTTCAATCTAGATTTGCTACGATCACTTATCATGTTTCTACAGAAATTTATTACCGATCACTGTTGTAAGTACTGAAACTATATTCTCTTCAAATACTGTACTAGTTCTGGATCAATTCCCTTCTGTCTAGAATTGCTACGATCACTCTTCTTGCCTCTATATAAATGTATTACTGATCGCTGTTGCAAGTACTGGAACTATTTATATTCTCTACAAATATTGGACTAGCTCTGGATCTATTCCCTTCTATCTAGAATTGCTACGATCACTCGTTATTATGTCGATCGCTTTTTTGGAGATCGTTACTTACATAAATCACAAGAATAGGAACATCTGTGGGATTGCTTTGCTCCCAAAATAGTAATTAAATATGATCAGAGAGAAAACTAAATGCTGGACTAGTTCTGGATCAAATCCATTCAATCTAGAATTGCTACGATCACTCTTCTTGTTTCTACAGAAATTTATTACCGATCGCTGTTGTAAGTACTGGAACTTCAAATATTTTGGATCAATTCTCTTCGGTCTAGAATTGCTACGATCACCTTTCTTGTTTCTATATAAATGTATTACTGATCGCTGTTGTAAGTACTGAAACTATATTCTTTACAAATACTGAACTAGATCTGGATCTATTCCCTTCTATATAGAATTGCTACGATCACTGTTTCCTATGTCGATCACTTTTTTGTTACCGATCGCTGTTGTAAGAACTGGAACTATATTCTATATAACTGCTTACAAGTTTATCTGTAAGACAGCTTTCCTCTCAATGAAGTAATTAGTTAGTTCTGATCATTAAATTTCTTTCAGTTCTTCCTTAGCTTTTCTATGTAGAAAAACTAATAACTAGACTAGCTCGGTTATAGTTTCTGCTTAAGGTTAGCAATATTATCAATTACTTTCTCTGTGAGATTGCTCTGCTCTCAAAGAAGCAAAAATCTTTGATTTCTTTAAGTTTCGCTCATAAAACTGTTTAAGCTTTTGTATACCAATCTTGAGAAACTATTCACAAGACTTCTGTTTAGAATAAATTTGCTCACTTCGATCACAATTTTTGTGATATAGATATGTATATATACCATCAAAGAAAGCTTTGGTCATTACAGTTCTTTATGTGCCTTTCATGAAATCGAAAAAAAATTAAGCTTTTTAAAAAGAAACACAAATCACTGGATTAGTTCTGGATCAGTTTTCTTCCCACAAAAAGTAAAACTAAACCATCCTAGTGTCTGTCCTTCCAACAGTGTCATTTAGATTCTCTCTTTTAATCAAGAAACAAAATTAAGCTTTTTTTGATGTGTACGCTCTTGTCTTAAAAATCTAAACCAAAAACTTAAAGCAAACTTTTTGTTAAGAATATTTTTCCTTAAAACTTTTTCTTTATAAAACTTAGCTTAAGTTCCATTTATGGCTTAGTTTCTCATATTTAATTTTTTATAATTTCCTTTGATTTTATCAATAATTTAACGTCTAATAAAAGTTCATCTTTTTATTAAACTATTAACAAAGGCAGAATAAATGAAACCAAAAAAAAAAAACAAAAAAAAATAAATAAAATCTAACTAAACTAGCAACCATAATGTTAATACTAAAAAGCTACAAAAAAATCAAAAAAAAAAAAAAACTAAAAAACAAGTAGCAAACAAAAAATCCATTGGCAAGTAGTTTATTTTCATTTTAACACAACATAAATGGCCAATATATACTAAAAACAAATGCAATTGTTTTCTTAAGTATTTTTTGCTGTTTTTGTCTTCTTTTCTAACATAAAGCGAAAGTTGACCCAGAGTTGTGGGGCAGTCTCATATAAGAAGACCATCGAAATACTAAGACTAAGACAAGTAAGCAACCAACCAACCAACCTAACAGCCAAGGAGAATTTAAAATTATACAAAAATTGTTACTCACAAATAAAATAAAATTTTATGGCAAATGATTGTGTTTTTTTTTCAAATTTATAATAATTTACATAAATATCAGTCAGAGTCAGCCTTAAATGGTTAACAGAGATGATCATAGTGTTTTTTTGTGAAAAATTATAATTTAAAATTTTGGTGTGTTTTTCTGTCAAGCAGCAAACAAATTTGGTATTGTCACCTACTTTTTGTATTTTTTTTTAAGATTTTAGAGTAAATTTCCACTAAATTTAAAGTAATAAATTTACCTTTTATAGTTAGAGAAAATAAAATAGAAAATTTCATGGAAAAGCCACACATTTTCACTTGTCAATTGTGTGTGTGTGTGGACAAATGTCTGCCAAGTTTTATAAAAGTTGGTTGAAAGAAAATTCTTTTTTAACAAGACCCCTGATAAACAATAAACTAGAAATAATACTTAAAAATTTTGCATAATTTTCAACTAACTTGAAAAACAAAAAATAATGTTAAATTGAAATTTTTTTGCAATTTAAATTTAATCTACAAAAATTATAATATTTCTTTTAAAAATTTTACTTTTATTTTAACAAACTTCAGCACTAACCACCAAACATTAAACAAAACTCTAAATTAGCCAAAAATCTCTAAAAAGGTGAATGTCCCTAAACATTTAGCATAAATAGTGAAATTTTTATTACCAATTCTTCAAATAGTTACATTTAAAACATATAAAAATCTACTTGTAGCCTCTAAATCACGTTTTGTTTTTATTTTATTATTTTTTAAACAATGTTCTGGTTTTACTAATTTTATTATTTTTTTTTCTTGTTTTTTTTTACTTTCAGTTTCTTTAACTTACACTCTAAAAAGACCCACCTCAACAATTTGATTATCTTTATATTTTGCTTTAATTAAGGTATGTGTGATTTTGTTTTTTATTTCATTTAACGATTTTTATGTTTCATTCACATCAAGAAAAATTTCACTTTAAATGTGTTTTTAAAATCACAAACGTAAATAGAATTTTAAGCAGAAATCTATATGTGTTGTTTAAACGCTACCATTATGCAAATGACACCCACTTGCTATTAGTCATGTGGAGAAACCTATAGACACACTTAAGTTTCTTTTAAAAATTTTGTCCGCTTACCGCTATAAACAATTTGTGAATTAAATTATTTTCAAGAAATGACCAAATTTGTAAGTGAACTTTATAAACATGATGACAATTTTATGGTAAACTAATTAATTTTGAAACTAATGGTTGTTTAATTTAATTTATTTCGCTGTGATTTAAAAAGAAAACTTTCTCAATAATTTTTTGTTTATTTAATTGGAATTTGTTGTTAAGAAAAGATTTTTTAAAAATAAAAGACTAGACGATGGTCTTGACTATAGAAATAACTATAAAGGATTGTTTCGAGTAATTGACATTTATAAAAGACAATATTTTCGACTATAATCTTATAGTCCCGATAATAGACTATAGTCTGGGCTTTAGACTATAGTCCAAACTACAGACCTGATTATAGACATTATTTTTCTCCAGACAATAGTTAAGAATGTATACTATAGTCCCGACAATAGACCCGAGTATAGACAAAATTCCCAACTATGGCATAAAGTCCTGACAATAGACTATAGTCCCTAATATAGGTTATAGTCCCGACTATTGACTATCGTCCTAACTAAATCCTATAGCCCCGACTATTGACTATAGTATCGACTAGAGACTATAGTCCCGACTATAGACTATAGTCTCGACTATAGACTATAGTCTCGACTATAGACTACAGTCCCGACTATAGACTATAGTCCAGACTATAGACTGTAGTCCCGACTATAGACTACAGTCCGGACTATAGACTATAGTCCCGACTATAGACTACAGTCCCGACTATAGACTATAATCCAGACTATAGATTATAGTCTCGATTATAGAATATAGTCTCAACTATAGACTATAGTCCCTACTATAGACTATAGTCACGACTATAGATTATAGTCCCGACTATAGATTATAGTCCCGACTATAGATTATAGTCCCGACTATAGATCATAGTCCCGACTATAGACTATAGTCCCGACTATAGATTATAGTCCCGACTATAGATCATAGTCCCGACTATAGACTATAGTCCCGACTATAGACTATAGTCCCGACTACATACTATAGACCCGTCTATAGACTATATACCCGTCTTTAGACTACATTCCCGACTATAGACTATAGTCCCGACTATAGACTATAGTCCAGGCTATAGAATATAGTCCAGACTATAGAATATAGTTCCGATTATAGACTATAGTCCCGACTATAGACTAAAGTCCCTACTATAGGCTATAGTCCAGACTATAGACTATAGTCCAGCCTATAGAATATAGTTCCGATTATAGACTATAGTCTCAACTATAGACTATAGTCCCGACTGTAGATTATAATCCCGACTATAGACTATAATCCCCTCTATAGACTATAGTCCCGTCTATAGACTATAGCCCCATCTATAGACTGTAGTCCCGACTATAGACTATAGTCCCGACAATAGACTATAGTCCCGACTACAAACTATAGACCCGTCTAAAGACTATAGACCCGTATATAGACTACATTCCCGGCTATACACTATAGTCCCTACTATAGACTATAGTCGCGTTTACAGACTATATTCCAGACTATAGACTATAGTTCCGACTATTGACTATATTCGCGATTATAAACTAAATTCCAGACTATAGACTAAAGACAATGGCTATAGAATATAGTGTCGAAAATTATTAATTTTTAAAATTACTATGGTGAGATATTTATTAGATTCGGCAGTGCCGAATCGGCACAGCTTAATAGAGAACTCTTACTTGTTTTAAATAAATTCAGCAGCCCAGTTTTTTATTAAAACTAGCTCAAAAAAACAAAAGACTTAAGCAACATACTTGAAAAAAAAAATTCTTTAATATTTCAATAACATTTTTTCTAGTACACAAATAACACAAACAACTTATGTATTTCTCTTCTTTATAAAAAAATTTTTCCTTATTTTCTAAATTCTTAAATGCACGTTTACCTACCAAACAAATAACTTTCTTAATATTTCTATTTCTTTAGTTTTCTTATAGATTTTTTTTTTATTTATAAACACATTGACCATTATGTTAATAGTGCATAACCATATCGTTAATTTAATCTAGTTACACAAAAGACTTGAAGAAATTTATAAACGTGATTACTTTAATTGCTTTAGAACTCCATAAAAATAGTTAAACGCTAACGTCAGCAATTAGTAAGCATAAAGTGTTTTATCTTATAAATATAGAAAATAAAATTACAAACAGCAAGAGAAAAAAAATTGTTCTAAATTTCTGATCAAACCAAGCAAAATAACCAATATAGTACATAAAACAAAAATTCTAAAGCATTTTGAAATTGTTTTATTTTCTTTTAAATCTGATAAAATTTTCAAAGCACGCATTAATAACGTAGTCAGGCCGTCAATTGGCAGGCAGGCAGTCCGGGCAGTAGTAGTAGTTAGTAAGCGGGCAATCATGCGTGTAAACATAACAAGCTCAAACGTGATATATTTTTTTAAAACTTAAACCAAAAAGTATAAATTTTAAACAAAAAAACTATTTAGAAAAGCTTAAAAAATTCTATAATAAAAAACCAAAATCAGCTCAACGGTAAATTTGTTGCTGTAATGCTAGTCTTCTTAAACTACCCCACATATTGGATAATGCAGTTAAGTACTAAGATAAAAATCTCGGTAACTCTCTAATACTTACATATGTAACAGTATTAAACATTATTATGCTGGGTTAAGGCATTTAGCAAATTGTTACAATTTTCCTATTGTTTTTAATATGTTATAATTGATTACCATATATAAAAAAATAAAATATGGGGGCTTAAACAATAGACCACAAGTTTTAGTTTTTTTTACTATTTTTCTTTTTTTTTGGTTTAAGGTCTTTTGTATGCTCTATAAACTGTGGTCTATATAATAAAGCTTTTTTCAGTTATTGTAGAGTAAATAAGTCATATGACAATTTACCTAATTTTTTAACGTTATTTTCTATTATTTTTTTGTTCTTTTACTAGTTATTGACCATATAGGGGTTTTGAGTGCATTTGAAACATTATAATACAATCACTTAAATACAAGCTATTGTTTGGTAATTTTGTTTTTGTTTTTATTATAAACAAGTAGTTTTACTAAATGGAGTAATTTTTTGTTTTATTTTTTTAGTTTTTTTTTTTTTTTTTTTTTTGAGAACAAAAGTGGTTAGTGGGGAAGTGATAAAGAAATTGTTTGGAAAAATTAAGAGATTTATTACTTAAGTTGTTTACCAGGATAAGTAAAGAGATTAGGTTGATTATAACTTTAATGGTGGCTTAATTAATTTGGATCTCTAAGAAATATTTAGTTGGTTAATATGTTAGGGAAAAGTTTATATTTAAAATTTAATTTTTTCTTTTTTTTTTTTTTTTTCTTTTTATTTATTCCAAACTAAACTAAATGACCATCATAAATAGTTTCCAACTATGATTTTAGTCTAAACTACAGACCTAATTATAGACATTATTTTTCTCCAGACAATAGTTTAGAGTGTAGGCTATAATCCCGACTGTATACTATAGTTCCGACAATAGATCCGGTTATAGACAATAGACCCGATTATAGACAAAATTCCCAACTATGGAATAAAGTCCTGACAATAGACTATAGTCCCTAATATAGGCTATAGTACCGACTATTGACTATAGTCCTAACTAAATCCTATAGCCCCGACTATAGACTATAGTATCGACTAGAGACTATAGTCCCGACTATAGACTATAGTCCCGACTATAGACTATAGTCCCGACTATAGACTATAGTCTCAACTATAGATTATAGTCCCGACTATACTCTATAGTCCCGACTATAGACTATAGTCCCGACTGTAGACTATAGTCCCGACTATAGACTATAGTCTCGTCTATAGAAAATAATTCCGACTATAGACTACAGTCTAACTATGGACTATATTACCGACTATAGTCCCGACTATAGACTATTGTTTCGATTATAGACTATAGTCCCGACTATAGACTATAGTCCCGACTATAGACTATAGTCCCGACTATAGACTACAGTCCCGACTATAGACTATAGTCCCGTGGATTAATTAATTTGGATCTCTAAGAAAAATTGTATATGTTTAAATGTTTAAAAGTTTAAATTTAAAATTTAATTTTTTTCATTTTTTTCATTTTATTTATTCCAAACAAAACTAAATGACCATCATAAATAGTTTCCAACTATGATTTTAGCTGTTAACCATCTCACAAAGGTATAATTTAATATTTAAGTTGTTTCAAGTTCTTAGCTTAAGTCTTTTGTTTTTTGTGCCAAAAAAAACCATATGGATGGCCTATGAATTGAGATAAGAATCATTTCTATTAGTTTTCTAATAACAATTTTAATCAATCTCGTGTTACAATTGTCGCTTTTTTTGTCAAGTTATTTCTTAAAAAATCATCCCTATAAGTTTTCAATCAATAATTTTGATCAATATTTTCGCTCTTTTACACATGATATTGACAGGAGCGACTTTATGATGAAAACAAATCTTCCAAACCTGTTTCACATATTAAAATACACATCAAAGAATTTTCTTGTTCCTCACAAAAAAAAAATTGTCCAGTTAATTCAATAATAATTTCCAAGAAAAACGACTTTACACATCCTCCTCAACTACTTAACTCTCTGGCAAATTATGTTGTTTGTTTTTCAAACACAAATCTTTTGAAAATCAAAAAACCACATGCATGTTTATAATTATACAACAAGTGTAAAGATTAACACACATTAATTTGTTGTAAAAAACAACAACAACAACATACAAAAATCATCTACCATGACTGATTTTTACCAC